TTGGTTCTAGCTGCTCTGAGATCAGACATCATACACTAAAGTCAAATTAATGGACATAGTCTCTCACCAGAGCTCCCACTTTTGCTGGGTTTCAGATCAGAAATGGAGGTTGGAGACCACTCCTGTGACCTTATTTGCAGAAAAGTTGATTTACTAGGAAAGCTGATAAACCAGCATGATCAACTATATCTCTCCAAGTCTCAAATAAGGCCTCCAGTTCAACTCTGTCATTTAGTTGGGCTCCATAAAGACATCTGTCACCTCTCTCTTTCTCTTCTTAACTAAAGCTTTGCTAAGAAGGACAATTTAGATCTCCTGTGAATTAAAAATCTTGAATAATGCCCTACTGTATTTTACTCTTGTAATAACATGCTTTAACTGAATCTGATTTTCCAAACTGTTCAATAGCACCTTGTTATTTGGCTCATTGCAAAAGACTCTCTAGTATTAACACATTTTCCAGGGAACTTTTCTGCTTCCTGTTGGTGCATGGTGGGGGCATGGATGTGCGAGTCCCAGCAACTCTCCACCATTATCAGGTGAGCTTTACGATGCTGTCAAGTATTTCATCACAAAGATGAAGTTCTGACAGGACTGAGGTCATGTGTACCTATTAATGCCAAGCTCATACACTTCAATCTCCTTCACATCTCTGCCTCTGCAACCTGCCACTACTGCTATGCAGCATGTTCTCTTCAAACTCAAAAATCCTGTCTGTTCAGTAAAATCAGACTATCTGAGAATGTTATCTAGTGTACCCTTACTAGGTTAGCAGCCTCTACTGAGGGTTCCAATGCTTGCTGATAACTGCTTCAACAGTAGATGTCCTGCATCTGAGGGATTCTGTCTCAACAAATGGCGCTTGGTAGGGGCCTTGGGTCAGCAAAATCACAATGGCCATATGTGTGCTTCCCCTTCCAAAGAGAATGTTATATTTCAGAATCTCTTGAGGTAAACTTAAAAAAAAAAAAACCCTCACCTGTGACTTGGATGGTTTTGGCTTATGGTTTTGCTTTTTGCTTAAAATATTCAATCTTGAACAGTGTGTCTCTCTGCACAAACTGAAAATCAGAGTAGATCTCTACCTTGGATTCTCTATGACACTATTGTGGATCTATTCCTTTAAGATTCTTATAAAGGCTATTGTTCAATTGAAAATAGAAGGTCTACGAGGCACATCCTGAATATCCATAGAAGGCTTTTTGAAATGATCACCTTAAATCTTCCAATGTCTTTAAAAGGGTTCTGCAGTCACACACTTTGCTTTATATTTACTCTAAATTCCCTTTATCTTCCTTCATATTTAACCTAACATTACCCTAAATATTTACCCTTCATATTTACCTTTTCCTGACAGCACCCTGGATTTGACCTTTGACCTAAGGCTCCTTCTTGCTTTTGAGAGTCTTTCGAATCTTATTTTCAAACAAGGGCCATTCTTATTTGTTCTACATTCTGCTTGGAAGTGGAATGTCAGTAGAGGCTGCTCACCTAGTAACTGTACACTAGATTACAGTCTCTAATTTCTTCTTTAGCTCCTATCTTTTTATCTTCATTTTATGACATGCAGCTAAAAGCAATTAGGCTAGAAATATCCTTAGCCAGATCAATTCATCCATAGAGACATTTCTATTTTCTGCAGGTGATGATTTTCCTAAACTTTCCACCACTATATATCCAACATCTTATTCTATCTTCTAGCCCCCAATAACATTTCTCTTACCCTCCTTCAAGCCTTCACTGATAGCTACATTGCAGCTCAATGGTCGTGGTAATATCTACTTTCGGGTAACAAAATATTACTCCTGCTACATAGCAAATTCACCTAAAATCGTTCAGTAAAAAATAACACTCATTCTGTTTTGCTCATGATTTTGTATGACAGTAATTTGGGGCAGGGCTCAGGTGAACAGATCCCACCTGAAGGACTACAGACATTTGAAGGCTCGACTAGGCTGGATGTCCAAGAAGGCTCACTCTCATGGCTAGCAGTTGATGCTAGCTGTCCACTGGGAGCCCAGCTCAGCTGTCGGCCAGAACATACAGAGATGGCCCCTACGTATGACATAGCTTCCTCAACATCTTGGTGACTTTGGATAGTTGGATTTCTTACATGGCAACTCAGGACCCCAAAAGTCAGTGTTCTCATAAGCAGGGTGAAAGCTGTTATCACCTTTTGTGATTTGGCCTCAGAGGTCACATAACATCAATTGTACTCTAGTAGTCAAAGTAGTTACAAACCCATGCAGATTCAAAGTGAGGGAATGTATACCCACCTCTCAATGTGAGGAAAGTCTAAGAAGTTTGCAGCCATTTTTAAAAACCCACAAGGGGCCTTGCTGTCTTGCTTTCTCTTGTATCATCACCCCTTATGGTAATGCCAGAAACGCAAAGGGTGCTCTATAAGTGTTTGTTGAAATCATGGATTTTGGCAAAGAAAGGAAAGGAATTATGTGGGTGATACTACAACTAGTGAGACAACATTGAGGTCTTTATTCCTGGGACCTTCAAGAAGAGAAGAGACACTATTGGCTACTTGGGGTGAAGTAAGCACTCATTTGTCTAAAAGCAAAGGGCTGACCTCGTGTATATTTTTTTGGTCCTTTTCATTTTTTGAATATTCTAGGCCCAAGGGAAATTCATAATTATCAGAATTTTTATTTGAATTTTTGAATAACAGTCAGGTTCCCATACTCCAAAAGCATGTAGAGTTATGATAACCTTATAGCAGTCACAAGAAACATCTGGCAAGCAAGTGATCTGGAAGAACTATGGATGCTCTCCCAGTTCTTTATTCCAGGGAGCAACACAGATATACAGCTGAACATCTTTTTCTGTTCCATGTTATTTTGTGTACAGAGTAGAGTGTTTTTATTATCTTGTGCCAAAAATACAGAGAAATTCTTCATGTGGATGGGAGGAGCTATAGGAATATTATATACCAAGGCCAACTACCTAGACTTTGAGCTAGGATTAGATTCAGTAAATGCCCTTCTTACATATCATAAGCAAGATAAAAAAACAAACCTTAAAAACATTGGTTATTGTTCCTTAGCATCCCCACTTAACAAGTTACCATATTTATAAGTGGAAATAACTTCTGAGAAATGTCAGGCATCTTGTTTGAATTCTTTGAAACAAAACAATTTCTGCCAAGAAGTCCATCTGCCCCCCAGAATTCCATCCTTTAAATACTTTGTTATGGCAGCACAAAAGAACACAATGAGTTATGTTGAGAGTGTCAGTCTTCCATCTTTGGGCTAAAAGGATTAGGTCTAAATGGCACATCATTACATAAGACTGCATGAAAATGTTTCTTTTGTCCTTAAAATACTTCATGGTATTTTATAAATAGCCAAAAGTATTAATTGGACTGAAAAAAAAACATTCAGAAGGCCTTAAATAGTACATGTGTCAGGCATTCTAATTTATGTGATTATTTTTCACCCAAAAGTCAGGGAACTTTTCAAGTACAATCATTTGTTGGACATGATAGGGGTTGAGGAGAGGCCGTATATGTGGTGGTTAAAAGCACAGATTTTGGAGTCAGTCAGATCTGTTATAGCCTCTCTGGTCACTAAGTTTACTTAACTTTTCTGTGGCTTATTTTTCTCCTTTGTAACATGGAGATAAAAAATATTCACCATCTAGAGTTGGCTTAAGGGTTAAATGGGATAACATAAGTAATCCACTTATCTGTGCTTGGCACAGAATAGCTGCACAGTTAAGTCAGATAAGAGTGAGCATATATTTTTGATAAGTAGTGTGTGTGTGTGTGTGTGTGTGTGTGTGTGTGAAAGGAGGAGGGAGGGGAGAAAGGAAGGAGGAGAAAAGGTGAGAAAGGTAAAGAGACTGATGGAGAGGAAGAGAGAATATTTTGGTAAGGGTGTATAGAGAAACTTGTTAGAAACATAGTGTGGGTGTGATGGTTATTTGCTGTGGCTAATGTATTTGATGAAGGGATATTGAATGTTGAATATGTTGGAATGGAACAGGAATGGAATATGAGGAAACATTTGGAGATTTATGTTACTTTGAGACAGTCACTTGTCTCCTATACATAGAACAAAGCAGAAAGTCAGAAACATTTCCCACTTCCTGCTCCCCATTCTGTTCCCATTTCAACCATACTTTCGTACCCCTTCCAGCACTTGTTCCCACCCAATGTCAGAGGTCTGTCCTTTGAACAAGATTCAGCTGTCCACTAGGTGAAAGAGTTGGAAAGCCAGCAGGCCATAATGATGTCACTGCAAATAACAGAGGTATTTTCACATTATTATGGGAGGAAAGTCCAGTGTAATATACAAATAAAAATGGACTTTCCTAGGAAACAAGAGTTGGAGAAGGAGTGAAAGAAAGATTTTGAGGTGTGCAAGGCCTTTCCTTCCTTTTTAAATGAACTGGTAAGGTCATTTCTTCCTTTTTAAAAATATTTTTATTGATTTCAGAGAGGAAGGGAGAGGAAGAGAGAGATAGAAACACCAATGATGAGAGAGAATCATTGATTGGCTGCCTCCTGCACACTCTCAACTGGGGATTGAGCCCACATCCCGGGCATGTGTCCTTGACCAGAATTGAACCGTGACCTCCTGGTTCACAGGTCGATGCTCAACCACTGAGTCACGCCAGACGGGCAGGTCATTTCTATTTTTAACATTATATGTTGGGCCATTTGGAAAAAATACATTCAGTGATATAATGCAGTAATCTTGGCATTATTAATTAGAATAATAATTTCCATTGCTTAAGGATTATTTATATAATGGTTTTGTTTAAGTTCTGGGTTTTTCAATGCTTTCTGAAAAAAGAAATAGATTTGTATATTACCTTAACACAAGTCTGCTTGAAAGCAATTCTAACACCCTTCAAATAACCTTTTAAAATATTACTTATGAATCTAGGCACTTCAATAAAATGTTTCCTGTTTTTCATTTCCCTAAGGCTAAAGTGACACAATTATTAGCTTTTGATAGAGTTAAACAATAACCACCTATGCTTACCTTTGTGGAAGAATGGAAAACAAATATTCTTTGAAGCGTTGTAACAGTTGAAAAGATTCCCATACTTCAGCTTATTTTTCTTTTTTCCTGGAAGAGCACAGAAGAATTAAAAACTAAATTTCTAAATACATTTTTTCTCTACTTCAGTGCTGAATAAAGTTCTTTCTGTCTCGGAATGTTAACATTATCATACTTTCTAATGGGGACCCTTTTTGATTCTGTATAGTAGCTACAATGTGCCAGGTAACATTCTAAATGCTGGGGATGTTCCAGAAAACAAAACACCAAAATCCCTGCCATCATGGAGTTTGCAGTCCAGTGGGAGGAGACAGAAGAGGACCAATATTTATAAATATAGAATGTGGTGATAAATGATAAGGAGAAAATTAAGGCAGGAAGAGACTAGGGAGTGTCAGTGGGGTTGGGCAGGGATTGTGATTTCGGATAGGATGGTCAGAGAAGGGCTCTTGAAAAGATGACATTTAAGGAAAGATGTGAAGGAAGTAGAGGAGGATGCCATGTTTTAAGTAACAGCAGGCCAAAGTGGAGTCAGTCAAGGGCAGAGTAGTGAGAAATGAGAAGTAAGAGGTGGCCAGTCTGGAAGTCTATTATAAGAACTTTGGCTTTTATGCCATTACATTAAATGGCATTGTAAGTATAAAATGAGAAGCCATTATAGGTATGTCTACATCTGCTTGTCTCTCAAGATTTGTTCACCACTCTTGTCCATCCAGTTCTCTGACCCGGGGAAGCTGAACTGTATTTTCCTGTTTCTCCTCATCACCAATCACATTTCTTCCTTTTGACTACCTTCCCCCTCTTTCAATAATCCATGTGTCCCTCCTGCCAGGGAAGCAGAGACCAGATACCTGTGTTTCTCAGCAGGTCTCAACAGTGGACCTGAGCTTGCCTGTGTCAGTGCTAGGAACCTACTAAAATGCAGATTCCTTGGCCTCACTCAACTCCATCAGGATTGCTGGGATTGGGGTCCAAGAATCTGCATGTTTAAACACTTCCTAGGTCAGTTCTTTCTTTCTTTCTTAATATATTTTATTGATTTTTTTACAGAGAGGAAGGGAGAGAGAGTTAGAAACATCGATGAGAGAGAAACATCAATCAGCTGCCTCCTGCACACCCCCTACTGGAGATGTCCCCACAACCAAGGTACATGCCCTTGACCAGAATTGAACCTGGGACCCTTCAGTCCGCAAGCCAATGCTCTATCCACTGAGCCAAACCAGTTAGGGCCCTACGTCAGTTCTTTCTTAATGTGAGGCTTAAACATTACAATCCTAGATCATAGTAACAGCAGCCTTCTGATGGGTATCCAATAAATTGTACTCATTTTTTTTCTTAGCTCCAAATACAGAGACTTAGAAATATTTGGTTTGGCTCTACTATATTTTGACTATTATCACCTGCTAAATTGGTTTATCTTTATTCAATGCTTATAAAATACTTTATTTTGTGAAATATTTCATCATTAAGTATATCCATAAGAACCATTTTTCACACTCCTCATCCACTTGTGTCTTATGAGACTTGATAACTGGTTTCCAAATTTATAAACTGTGAAAGAATTATCTGTGATGTCTATGTATTTTTGTTTAACAGCACTGATTTTATTTTTATTTAAATTCTAATTTTCCCAAGATGAATCATTTTCAACGTTATATTTGAATTAGAAATAAAGGTACCCTAAAGTTACTTATAAATGCCATATACATTTTCAACTGTTCAAGTTGGCAGCACTGAACTTTGAAAACCTTCAGAGTTATGGAAGGAAAATGCGTCTGTGACTTAGACTGTTGCAGAATTTGTGGCGAGGAATCCACATTTCCCAGTAGTTTGTACAGCGTTGCTCTCACATTACGCCCAGTCTTCTGTGAAGAGACACTAGATTGATGTTTCCCAGAGTATTTCTGTTACAGACTCCAGAGTTCGATGCTTTTAAACAAATACTGTCCTTTCATTTTTTTTAAAATATATTTTATTGATTTTTTACAGAGAGGAAGGGAGAGAGATAGAGAGTTAGAAACATAGATGAGAGAGAAACATCGATCAGCTGCCTCCTGCACATCTCCTACTGGGGATGTGCCCGCAACCCAGGTACATGCCCTTGACCGGAATCGAACCTGGGACCTTTCAGTCCGCAGGCCGACTGTCTATCCACTGAGCCAAACCGGTTTCGGCAAGTCCTTTCATTTTTTTGCAGATTTCATAGGTTAATTTCCTTGTACCAAAATTTGCTATTTTAAGATACTGAGGCAAAAAAAAACACACAAAAAACTGTCGGAAATAAAGAACAAGGGAGGCACTGCCATGTACTAAGCAGATAATAATAAATATCTACCTGAGTAGCTGAATCTAATCCCTCTGAAGACTGGTTCATTTGGCCTCTTACTAATAATTTAAAATTCTTTCCTAGCAGAGAGAGGGTGTGGTATTTTGATTGAGGGAGCTGCATAATGGATTTGGCTGAGACCAAAGGTTAAACTTGCCTTTTAAGCTGGAAAGGATCAGATGGAGTCTTTATGGCCCATTCTGGCTGGACTGTGTTTACAACGAATACTCAAAGCATGCATTTCCTCTCAAATATTAGGGTTTGCAGCTGCTGGTTAAAAATACATCCAAATGGATACCAAAAGCTGAAGCAACGAGTCCATACATTTTAAGGATATGAGAAGAAAGGCTTGTGAATCTTTTAAATATATATTTTATTGATATTTTTACAGAGAGGAAGGGAGAGGGATAGAGAGTTAGAAACATCAATGAGAGAGAAACATCGATCAGCTGCCTCCTGCACACCCCCTACTGGGGATATGCCCGCAACCAAGGTACATGCCCTTGACCAGAATCAAACCTGGGACCCTTGAGTCCGCAGGCTGATGCTCTATCCACTGAGCCAAACCGGTTAGGGCTGTGAATCTTTTAATAATTACGTTGCACATAACAAAATGTCTTATAATAAAAGAAATTCTTGCAGAATTTCTGTTTCTCTATGCCTTTGGTTAAATTGCTTAAGTCAATGTGTTTAACATGAGTGCATTTTTCAGAAAGATAAATTTCCCACTTTTAAAAAATAATTGCACATTTTTGTTAGTAAAAGGGCATATAAAAGCTCTAAATATTAGATGTACTAGATGGTAGATGAAGATTAATCTATACAAAAAGAAAGAACATTTTCTGTTATGTACCTCAAGAGGCTTTGTTTACATTACTTTACATTGTTATATAAGGATTATATTGGATTTTGGAAATCCTAAGTCTGAAAAGAACCCTGAAAGTTATTTAATTCAGGAACACTACAGTCAACAACAATGCTAATAATATAGCTAAGCTTTGTGCATTTACCATCTGCTGGGCACTGTTTTAAGAAGCTTCACCTATGTGATCTGAGTGAACCCTTATGACGTAAATATTAGCTTCATTTGACAGATAAGGGAACTGAGACACAAAATGTTTAACAAATCTGCCTGAAGTCAGAGCTGGCACATGGAAGAGTCGGCACAAGAGCTGAAGAAACACTTGTGAAATGATCCCAGCCAGTTCTACCCATGAAAAGTGTACACAGCTGTTGAGAGTGTGATTTGAAGGTGCCAGAAGGTCTAACCAAATACATCGCCTTCAACCGTTCACAACACTGTTTCAAATTCCCACCATAGAGAGTGCTTTGTACGAAGACAATGCCTTCAAAAGGCTGTATCTTTAAAAATATTACCTAAGAATTGCCCATTAATGATAGCAAGACAAAGTTGACACATTTTAGGGAGATCTGGATGATAAAAGGAGAAAACAAAAGAGTTGTTGAAGGCAAATACCACAATATACATACACTCTTGGTTAACCTTGGCAAGTGGAGGGGTGGTAAAGACAAAATTCACCCCCTTGGCTTCAGCTATAGATGGAAATTATCCATTTTAAGCTGTCTTCTCATTTGGGAGATAGAACCATACCAGATAGTTAAAACTTTACTATTTGCAATGGTAAAACTTGGCTAACAGCAAAAATTATGTATATTTTCCTCACCACTTCCCTTTTTTAACAAAGATTCCTAGTAGATGTCTCACCTATGAATCCTAATTGATATATGAAATTTCCAATATATATGTGAGAATGCATAGACCCTAAGCATTGTCCAAAGATTTCGTCATATTCTCATAAGTATATATGAACCCACAAAACAGCACAAATTGAACCTAGCCCATCTGCACTTCTTACATATTCTCTAAAATTAGTGTCTGCTTTAACAGCTAAGAGAGCATATAAGTGTTTCGAATTATGTATCCTAATGAGTATCCAGGGCTACATTCATGCTGATATTTTAGATAGCCAAATATGGTATGCAAAATGACCACGACCAGGGTAACATTACATGCCACAGGCTTGCTATAATTATCTTTCACATTTTTACTGTGTTTCTGCAACAATGGATGCAACTATTCAGGATTGGAGCTTTAAGTAAATAATATGCTACGGGGAAGTGAGACAGGCATGTGGATAAAAGTTCTTGGGTTAGGCAATTGGAATGAATAGTCAATTAATAAAAAATGCTTTTCAAAATGAACATACTGATCTGACATTCTCACTGAGCTATTAGCAGGTTCATTTGAGTTCTTAAAAAATTTTCTTTACTCTGTGTTTAACAACAAATGTGGGCCAATTGCTGAGTTAATTGAAAAGGATTGTTTTCTTGTTGCCAAGAAACGGCACTTTCTTACATTATGCAGGCCATTATGTGCACAGATCAAGCCTCCTGATTTTTCTTTGAGAGCTTAAGAATATAGGCTGCTCTGATTTAGTTCTGTCTGGAAGAGAGAAGCGCAAATCAAGAACACTTTCAGGGGTGTTGTGTTGTTCCATTTCCATTTACCAGGTAAGATTTGGATTTGAAAGTACTACCTTGTTCCTCATGCTTAACTTTTCCTAAATCACTTAAATGCTTTTATGTTGAGTGAATGAGTAGATCTAAATGATGCTTTACTTGGGAGAATTTAGAATCATTCTAAGTTGATTTTTTCCCCCTAGCTGTATGTTCTGAGGGGAAAAAAAATGTAAAGATCATAATAGACGTCCGTGAAACTGGC